CCCCCCCCAAACTCAAGGGCAGTCCAAAAGCTGCTCACTCTCACTCTACTTCCTGGGGAACAGAGAACAGTGACAACAGACCACACCTATGGTTTACCCCCTACCTCTGGGCTTGGGTATGGGGCTCTTGTACCAGCTGGGGAAGCCCCAGCACAGCGGAATTCTCAAGGGGCCATTTCTACCCCCATTGCATTGCTATGTTGGCTGAAGAGGGCACTTCACAGAGCCCAGAACACCAAGCTGTGTGCATAGGCTCAACCCCTCCCCCCACTGCCAGTGTCTCTCATTCATCTTTAAAAGAGCTGGAGCGTAGGCTGAGCCATCACAATCAAAGAGAATCAAACAGAAATCCCTAGGCAGCAGACGCCTCTAAGACCCCAGCTCCTGCAGTTGCTCAATCAATTATTCAATAGGTTAATAAATCATTAGAACAGGATATTTTAAGAGCCCAACCAGCTCCTGAATGTTGCCTTCTTGTTCCAGCTCAGGTGCAGAACAGCCATCCTTTCTTGGGGGACTCAGTTTATCTTTTGCTTTCTCTGCCACCCCTTCACCAAAAGAGGTAAGTGCCTGTTTCTTTCCTGACCCACTTCTGTTGTACTCTGGGCTAGCAAGAGACACCTTTTTCAGTCTTAGCAGCTCCATAAGGGGCTTCCCTAAATGCCTGTGAACTGCGCACTGCCCGCCAAGTCATAGCAGGTCCATGCCCCTGGGCCGCCTCCAGGTTCAGGGAGAACTGCAGTGGGAATCTCTGCACCTTTGTCTGCGAGCAGCAGTACCAGGGAGTTTTCCTTAGCTCTTTAGCACCCTCTGCTGTTCCCTGAGGAGCTGACAGAAGGCTCAGACTTGGGTTGGGAACTACAATACAGCCGAGGCTCTATGCAGAGGATAGGAGACAAACAAGACCAGCCCCCTTGGAAGTGATGCTGCTTGGGCCACCTCCACCCCAAACAGACGTTTTGGCTGATGTTGCCCCAGATGCCTTGGAGCCTCAAATACTCCCCAGTGACCAGGGGCTTTGGTTTCACCTCATTCCAACTATCACAGAGCTGCGAAGGTCATGTGGGCCCTAGCGGATTATCCACCCAAAAGCAAAGGCTTCCCTTTATGACTCACCTGCCCTGCCCCCCAAAACTGGGCTGGGCACTGGGGGCAGCAGCAGCAGCTCAGAAAGGAGCGTGCCTGTACATGCCACCTGTACCATTCTCAAGAGCACATGGGTCCCTGTTACCAGTCTCCCCTCTGAGCACTGGATCTGAACTCATCTAGAAGAGACAGAAGCCCTATGGAGCGACATTACCCTGGAACACCTCTAAGCCAGTGGTTCTCAACCTTCTTCAATTCAAGGCACACCTTGATAGACCCTTGGAAGAGGTCAGCTCTTAGCTTCCACTTGATTTTTCTTACACAAAAATCACGGAGCAGTTTTTCTGTTGCAGAAAACACAGAAAGATCCGAACAGGTCAGAACATTTTGCCACTCTGGATTAATACATGAAACCTCTCTGCTTATCTTGTCAATCCTGTTTGCATGTCTAACAGCACTAACATTGTGTAGCACCTCTGAAAGGATCTTAAGATGCCCCAGAGTGGTGCAGGGTCCCAATCAAGAATCACTGCTCTAAGCACTGGGTTGGCATGGCGCCCACAAGAGGCAAGGCAAGCCCATGGATAACGCATCCCATAGGTTAGTACAAAAATCACAGCAAACGTAAGAGCCTCCGCATCCTCTTTATTGAATGCCAGTGCCACCAAGGCTGGGAAATCACCACGCAACAAGGCTGAGGGGTCCAACAAGAAACAATCCCATACTAAAACCTATCTGAGCTCCCATATCCACCCTGGCTCAAGCAACCGCTGCTTGGTTCAGGTTACTGGTTTGTGACCCCCTGAGGCAGTGGCTGCATCTCCCTCTCTGCCTGCTCGATTTGTTCCTCTGTCAGGACAACAGGCTTGTATTTCTCGCTGAAGAGTCTCTCATTAGTCTCCGAGTGGAGGTTCTGGAAGGAAATGATGCGGAGCTGCTCTGGAAGGTTCTGGAACTCCTCATCATTGATGTCAGAGTCCTTCATTTTGGCATTTAAAACCCACCAGCGCCCCCAGAACCCCACATCCAGGATGCGGCCTGGAAACTCTGTCCAGCGTGGCTGCAGGTGCTTGCACTGAGCCAAGTACAGGTCGGCCTCTGCGTCGAAAGGGGCCTCATACACCAGGGAAAAGAAGACCAGGCTCTGGTAGCGCAGCTGCCCCCAGTTCCTCAGCTGCATCAGGCGCTGAACGTGGCCCTTGGAGGTGGCATTGCAGACCCAGGGGGAGAGGAGGAGCAGGGTGCCAGAGGCCTCGAGGAGGGAGGCATCAAAGGAGGTGTCGCTGGGGATGCGGAGGCTGCAGGCGGCTGCCCCGGCCAGCACCGAGAGGTAAAGCCCGGCTTTCCCGGGTCGCTGCCGGGCGCCCACAACCACCTCCTTGCAGGCTTCCACGTAATCGTGCAGGAGGCTCTTCCACCACTGGCCTGCACAGGGGCAGCAGGGTCAGATGCTGCTGGCTACCAAGGGCCCAGCCCACCAAGGGGCGGCGGGATCCCGCGCTGGGGAAGCCGACGCTCTGGGAGGGACCTGCCGCTATGCGCGGGGCCGGGAGAAGAACCGAGAAGTCCGGGCTGCCAGGCCCTGCGCCAGCCCCTCCTCCCGTGGGAAGCCGGGCCGCTACCTCCCCTCCCCTCCCCTCCCCGGAAGAACCCAGGCGTCCGAGCTGCCAGGCCCTAGCCCCGAGAACCCAGGAGCCCTCCCCCTCCAACCTACCCAGGCGGCTAGCGCCGAGCCGCCCCCAGAAGCCGCGCCTGCCCCCCCGATCGAGTCCCGCGCCGCTCGTGGTGTCTGTTGCCACCGCCATGGCGCCAACCGGAAACTGTTTCCGGCCGGAGGGGAAGTGGCGCCGGACCGGACGAAACCATCCCGGAGCTCGGGGGAGCGGTTCCCCCTTCCTTCTCCCCCCCCCGCGAGTGCGCGCGGCCAGGCCGGAGAAAGGGACACGCAGCACCGGAGCGAGGGGTGCCCGGCTCTGCCAGGACACGTCACTCCTCCCTGTCGTGCCCCCCTTGCACAGCAGGGCCCCGCCTCGGGGTGTCTCAGGCGCTCGCGCCTCAGTTTCCCCCACTCCCCCCCCGGCCGTAACAAGCCTTCCTCGCCCCCAGGAGCCCGGGGTGTGCTGATGCCATGGCGGCCTCCGACCAGCTCCGCTTCCACGGTGAGCAGGCGGCCGCCCTCGGGGAGGTCCCGCCGGGCCGCGAGGGGACCGGACCCGGCTGCAGCAGGTGTTTTCCCTCCTCCCGCGAGGCCTTGGGACTCCGGCGCCCCCAGAGCCCGGCCGGGCCCCGCGCCGCCCTCGGGCACTTACTGGGCGGTTGGCACGAAGCAGGGACGGACCCGCTGCCCTTGGCTTCCTGCCTCCTGGGACCGCGGGGACCCCCCGGCAAACCTCGGCCAGAGGCAGGGGGAGAAGCTCTGGCTGGGGGAGCCTGGCGCCTGCGGGGCATCTGCCTGTCTCTCATCCACGGGCGTCTGCCAGCAGTTTCCCTAGGAAGGGGCACGGCGCTGGCTGGTGTGCTGTTCAGCACCCCCCCGCCCCGAGCACTTGTAAGCGGCCCTTGAGCCTGCTCCCTTCCTTGTTTTTTCTTTAGTTGCCCCAAATACTCTGTTAGGTCTTCATAGGTTTGCCTGGTGGAGGGAGGTTTATAGCTCCTGGGTGAGCCAGGCCCACACTCCTCTGGGCATAACAAATAGGTCTGCCTAATGGAGACAGTGTGGTCTGGCAGTTAGAGCATAAAACTGGGACCTGGGTCCTTCTGGCCAAGATAGAAGTACCTTCTGTATCATCGTAACGAGGGCGATGAACTCCCCAGCTCCTTCAGGGCATGACACTGGGAGGGTGGAGGCTCGGGAGTGAGGGGCTGGACTAGGCAGTGGCCCCTGAGCCCTGGGCTGTGATGGCTGGCGCTTTACCCCTGCAGAATTTGACGAGGCCGCCGACCTGCTGGCTGCAACCCCCGATGCAACAACCACCAGTGTCAGTGAGCGGCAGAGCCATGTGGCCCTGGATGTGGGCTCCAGCTATGACGAGAATGAGGAGGGCGATGAGAGCGATAAGACAGAGGTCGGGGGCAAAGCTAACATGCATGGGCAGGAGGGTGGCAGGACTGGTCTGGAGGGGAGCGCTGGCTCCAGGTCAGGCCCAAGGTTGGCTGGGGCAGGGAGTGTGCACTAGTGGAATAAAGAGCTCTTCACTTCCCAGCCCTAGGTCCAGATCCAGCCTGGGCAGTTGTGCCTGGGCTGTTCCCAGCTGCTGCTAGCTGTGGAAGCCATCAGGGTCCAAGTAGATCAAGTATTTCTACCTCAGTTGCGGCTCTCTCTGGAGATGGGGCTCCTGCCTGGCATGCTGGGTAATCCCAGTTGCTTGGAGCAACTGGGGTGGGGTGCACTGGTCTGGGAGGGAGCTGGGCTCACAGTTGGAGGTGCTTGGGGTTCTCTGTGGGTAAGGCTGGTGGGGCCATGTGGTAACATACATTCCCTTCCTCGCAGCTGCTGAGCGGCCAGAAGCAGCCACCAAGTTTCTGGACCTTCGAGTACTACCAGGCCTTCTTTGATGTCGACACCTACCAGGTAATGGAGCCTGCGCCCTTGTGGGAAGGCAGCATTCTGACGCAGGCAGTTAGAGATGCTGGCAGGAATGAGTCCCATAGATTCATGGGTTTCTCAGCTCCCAGAGGCTTTGTACATTATTAGGTATAGTACGGTAGCACCTGAGAGCCTCAGTCGCAGGCCAGAGCCCCATTGCACTAGGGACTGTACATTATGTATTATAATCATATTGGGGAGCCCCCACCTAGGACCAGGATGCAGCTTTGCTCTCTGGTTGCTGCCTGGTGAGCCCAGAAAGCTGCCTGCCTCACTCCACTCCTGCTTTCTTCACTGTAGGTGCTGGACAGGATCAAGGGATCACTGCTTCCACTACCAGGGAAGAACTTTGTGCGGCATTATCTACGGAACAACCCTGACCTGTATGGTGAGCCCAGAGGGGGTCCATGATGTGGGGCAGGCCAGGGCAGTGCAGGCTGAGCCCTGTTGGCCCCCTGTGCCCCAGGGCTCAGATGCCATCTGTCAACCAGAGCAAAGCAGGGCATCTTTGGTCTCTGGCTTCTGCCCCAGCCTGGGCTCAGGGTCGCACTACCCTTGGCCTCTTCCAGGGCCCTTTTGGATCTGCACTACGCTGGTGTTCACACTGGCCATCAGTGGCAACCTGTCCAACTTCCTGGAGAAGCATGGCAACACCTCCTTCCGCTACAGCCCCCAGTTCCACAAAGGTGAGGGGTAGGTATGGGACAGGCAGGCATGGGCCAGGCCCCATGAGAACCCACCAGGCTCCTGGGCAAACTTGACCCCTGCCAGGCACAAAGCTTTAAGTGAAAAGAACCTAGGAGTCTTGGCTCCCAGCCCCAACCCACAAGACCTCCTTCCTCTCCCAGTTGTGGGGGGAACCCAGGTGTCAAGGTCCTCAGTTCCCCCTGCTCTAACCCACCAGACCCGTCCCTTCCCACAGCTGGGAGAGAACCCAGGAGGCCTGGACCCCACCTCTTGGCATTTGAGTCTCAGCTTTGAGCTGATTCACTGTTGGCTGCTTTGCTGTCCTAGTGCCTGTAGTATGTACCGTGGGTGGTGGTTGTTGGGGGGGGGGGGGAACAACACAAAAGGCCCCCCCGGCTGGCTGGCTGGCCGCAGAGCACTGGGTGACAGGAGCCCATCCCTTGGCAGTGACCATTGCAGGCGTTGCCATCTATTGCTATGCGGGGCTGGTGCCGCTGGCCCTGTGGGGCTACCTGCAGTGGCGCAAGGGTGTCTGCCTCAATGTGGCCTCCTACACCCTCCTGGAGACTGTGTGCGTCTATGGCTACTCCCTCTCAGTGTACATCCCTGCCTCGGTGAGTTTCCTGGCCCCCAAACCCTCCAAGGGGATAGGCTGAGTCTGGTCATGGAGCTGCCCTCTTGGGAAGCTGGTGGGGGTAGGGAACTCACCCCTGTCCCCTCTGCCATGGGCACCATGTCCTCTAACCCCTGGGCCCAGCTCAGCCATTTTAGCTAGTTGTCTTTGCTGAGACTGAATTTCCAGCCTGTTTGCTCCTGCCCTGCTATTTACCTCCAGACGTGGCACCCACAGCCCTGCTCTTTTACCCCCACTCCCTGGGCCCAGCTCCCTGTTCCCATCTGTGTTTACCTTCTGGGTGGTGGGTGCCCAGAGCTGCAGGCAGGGTCCCTGGTGCAGTGTAGACTCACAAGTATGAAGGCAGCTTAGATCCCCAGGGCTCCCTAGAGCCAGAATGTGCCATCCAAATCCTGGCCTGGACAACTCCTGCGTCTCAGAACTGTGGGGCCCGTGATCCTTGCTCATGCTTACCCCCTCCTTGTCCCGGTCTTGAGCAGGTGCTGTGGCTCATTCCAGTCTCCTGGCTGCAGTGGCTGCTGATCGCCACCGCTATGACCCTCTCCGGGTCTGTGCTGGTTCTCACCTTCTGGCCACTCATCCGCTTAGACAGCCGGGCTGCCACATTGGCTGCACTGACCATTGTCCTCGCCCTCCACGCGCTACTGGCTGTAGGCTGCAAGGTACCCAAGGCCCAGCATCTTGTGGGGCAGAATAGGGGAGACCTATGCTTGGGCAGGGTCATGGCAGCTGTTGCTCAGTTTGGGTCTGGTGTTTGTTCTCTAGGGACCCGGGTGGGGGCACGTGCCTCAGATCTGGAACCAGGGACCTAAGCCAGGTCCCCCCACCCCCATTATGTGTGCTTCTTGCTCAATTTCTTCTTGCAGCTCTACTTCTTCCAGAAGCCAGTATATGCTGTCCCTCTCCACTCTGCCCACACTAAGGCTCCAGGGGGGGCACAGCTACTTACAGCCTCTCACCCCCGCCTCAACAGCTCCATGACTACCCCCCTCCGTTTCTGAAGGATGGCAGGTGAGAGCTGGCCAGGGGGGCATGGGGCAGAACTGGCTCCCCCTGTGCCCTAGTTCCTGGCCAGAGAAGATGCCCCCAACTCTATCCCCACCACAGCCAGGGTTTCAAGCAGCAGCTGAGGCACCTGTTACAGGAACATGGGACAGAGTCTGAGGAGCAGGACCCTGGGGCACGGTGGTCTCTATGCCAGGGCATGACAGGTGCAACCCCCCTGGAGACCCTGTACCAGCTTGGATTCACCCTTGTACTGCTGTTTCAGGCTTTGGAGGACCAGCCCCTTCTCTTTGCCTCTAGGGCTGTGTGAAGCCATCAGCCAGCTCCCCAAACCAGTTCAGATGGATGCCCCATCACACCCGCTGTAGCTTCTTCGACACTGACCAGCCCTGTTGGTAACACACGGCAGCTGCCTGCTCTCAGTCTCTGCTCCAGGCTGAAGCTCCACTCTGCTTGAGCCCAGCCCATTCCCAGAAGTCCTGGTTATTCTCAGCAGCAAGGGTGACTACCCTTGGTCGCAGCATCCTTGTGGCACTGTGGGGGGCTGAAGTGGATTGTGCCTGCCATAGGGCATCCTTGGGAAGCAGGCAGCAGGGCTCAGGTTTCTCAGTGAACAATTTTTATATGCACAAGTTGCTGGAATAAACAGCAAGGCTGCTCCCACCTGGTGCTGGGCAGGGCTGTTTCTTGCACTGGCATCTTTTGCCCGTTGGGCTATGTCACAGACTCCCCTTGTGCTGTCTCCAGGCAAGTGGAGGCCCCTGCCTGTGGGGGTCTGACAAGCAGCTCCAGGATTGTCACCCTAGCTGCTAAGCTGCCAGCCAAGAGGCATGGGCCAAGTCTGACTCCTGGGAGCAGCTGGTTCTTCCTGCGAAGGGCTGGTTAGTGCTGCAGGAGCTGGGGACATTAGGAGCGAAGAGCTCTGAGGCAGTTATCTGGGCCTTGGTTTCCCTCCTGCCCCAGAGCCAACCTCCCCCAACTGTTGGCTGGTGACTAGGTTCCTGGGGAAGGTGGGCTGAGGATGTGGCCAGGGCTGCTGTCTCAGGCCCTGACCCCTGCCAAGAAAGAGCCAGCAGGGGCAGCAGACCTTCGAAACCCTCCCATTTATTCAGTACTACGGCCCAAACACTGCTACTCCTACCAATGGGCACCGGCCTGAGACACGGTGCCCTCCCCCTGCCAGCCCCTGGCCACTTGGCATGGCTGGCCGGGGGCGGACGGGACCGGCCTGTGGGAGACACGCGGTTCTCTCTGGCCAGGGATGGGGGTGGGGGTGTCCCTGCAGAATCCTTCCGAGCAACGCCGCTCGCGGCCCTTAGAAAGGAACCAGAAAGGGAGGGTGGGGCGAGGCACACGGTCACTGCTTGGAGGGTCATTAACATAAATGGATTCGCCGTCCTAGGGAGCTAGGGGACTGCGCCTTCCATAACAGCTGGCAAGACCGTTGCAGCTGGCAGGCCCGCACACCATGCTGCTGAGGGCTGAACTTGCCACTGGGTGGTGTCCAAGGGCTCCAGGCCCCCCCCCCCACTCCCCCCCCCAAAGGGCATGGCTGGGGAAAGCGAGGCACAAAGGGGCTCTTCTTTCCCCACAAGGCACCAGGGCTGGTTGAGCCCTCACGCCAGCAAGGGGGAGGGCGGGAGGCTGCCCTGCAAGGGGCTACAACATAGGGCCCTTTATGCACCAGCCTCAGAAGAGGAACAAGCCGGGGCAACCTCCCACCTCCCCCAGGCCCAGCCCCATCCCCCTGCCTGCCTGCCTGCCAAGCCCTTGGTGGTAGGGGAAGGGGGGGATGGGGGTTATCAATGTCCCCATCCCCAGTGGGATAGGTCCGCACTGCAGCCCATGCCTGTCTGTTATGGAAGCTCACGAACTAAAACAGCATCAGCTACATGATCGCTCAGGGAGGGTGGGGGGCAGCTAGCACAGTGGGGGGGAAGGTGGGGCAGGTGGGTCCCTTGGCCCCACCCTTTTGTAAAAAAGTTGTCCAAGTCCGGTATCAAAGAATGGGTTGCCGGGCCGCAGCAAGGTCTTCCCAGCAGCAATGGCAGCGGTGCGGCAGACAGGGGAGGAGGGGTCCAGCAGTTCGTGGAGGTGTGGAGGGGAGGGGCGGAGGGGGTCATCTTCATTTGGTTTCCTGGCGCTGGCAGTCCAAGCACAGTGGGCGCCTAGCTCCCATAATGCATTGTGTTGGTGGTGATGGACATGGGTGAGGCCATGGAGATGGCTGGGCCCCCCATGGTGAACTGGCTGTTGAGTGGGTAGTGGGTGCTGCCACTGCTGCTGCTCTGCCCACTTGAGGAGCCTGCGGGGGCAGGGGAGGAGAAAGAGGCCATCAGATGTGCTGGAACTAGCCGCTGGCCCCCTCCCCTGGGCAATGGCCAGGGCCACAGGCAGCTCCAGCTGCTGAACTGTGGGCAGATGGGAGCTCACCTTGGACGATCCCTGTGCTCATGATGGATCCCATCCTGGAGTGCGTGTGATTGACGATCCCTGTGTTAGCTGTAGAGGGCCAGGAGAAAGGCACAGGGTTAAGCAGCCTCAGCTGGGGAGAGAGGCTGTACCGTGGACCCCCAGCAGCAAGCACTGCAATCCCATGATGAGCTGCCAGGGGCCAGAGCCCAGGGATGTTGCCCATGGCCTGGGCCCCATCGCAGTACTGGCAGCAGCATCTGCCTAGTCCAGTCACATTGCTTCTCTCTGCCAGTGCCACTGGGCATTGTAGAGACACCGCTGCACCTCCCTCCCAGCTGCAGTATGTCCATTTCCCCCACCCCCCAACCCCATGATGGGACTCACCTAAAGGAATCAGGTTGTTGTGGCTGACGCTGGTGCCACCTGTGATGACACTGCTGAGGTCATAGGCCGTGGGCATCCCTGAGCAAGAAAGACAGGGTCAGTGCTGGGGCCAGTCACCCCTTCTGCACCCCGTATTCCTGGGATAGTACATGCCCCCATTCTCAGTCCCCCTGGCAGCTGCATTAGATTCAGTTTCACAGCTGGGCTCTTGCTGGATGCGGTGGAGGCTGGAGCACAAGGGGACAGAGCTCAACTTGTCCAAATAGCCCCAGATGATGGGATGAGAACCCTGGGGGATGTGGTCCCATCACAGGTCTCTGGCTGCCCAGACCTGTTCCTGCCCTGGTGCAGGGGAGGGCACGTACCCGCCACAGCCATGCCTGTACTCATGTTGTAGGCGCTGCCTGCATTCCACATGTTCTCCGACGGGGACGTGTAGTGTGATCCTGGAGGGGGTGATGGAGTCGTGCCTGTGTACCTGCAATGTGCACCAGGACACATGTGAGTAAGCCAGGAGGCATTGACGCTGTGATTCTCTGTTGCCACTCCCATGCAAGCCCTGCCCCCCACCCAGGCAGGGAGCAGGGACTGCCTGTGACAAGGCATCCACCCAATGCTGCCCAGGTATGGGGGGAGCCAGTGCAACCCCCAGCCCCGAGCCAGGACATACCTAAAGAAGGGGTTTTTCAGGTCAAGGAGGTTGCTGGACTTTGAGCCGGTCTGATCCACCTGGGCCACAATACTGATGTCGTAGCTCTGCCTATGGGAGAGCAGGACGCATCAGGAGTCAGAGAATGGAGTCAGCGCACTGGCCGTGGCTCTCCCTGCGAGAGGGGGAGTCCATGGCCTCCGAGATGCACCAACGAGGGCGAATGCAGGTACAAGGCCAGATACCAGGTCAACAGTTCCCGGAGAGGCCCCAGCTGTGTGGACAGGCCTCCATGACAGTGCAGACCAAGTCCTGGGAGCTCCCCCGAGCTCACCTCTTGTTGGCGATGAGGAGGCAGGTCCCTGAGAGCGTGTCACCGGCTTTGGCGAAGAGTGGGGACTGGAAGAGGCACCGCACCTGGTACCAGTGGGTTAGTGGCTCCGTGGGGGCTGTCGACAGCCACACAGTCATTCTGGGGGGACGGACATGACACACGACAAATGCAGCACTGTGAGGTGAAGAACGGCCTGGCCAGGGGAACCCTCACCTTTACAGGGGGCAGCAGGGGCTGTGGACCTCCACCCACATCAGCCCTCCCAGCTCCAAAGCTTCCTGCCCTCCACCCGACCCAAGTGCCCCCAGAAAAGCGAGGTGTCCTACAATGAGTTTGGGAAGCTGATTCCTTTGCACAGCAGTGGTATGGGCAGCTCCAGACAGAGCATCAGGGGCTACCTACCCTGCCAAACCAGATCCAGGGTTGGGAGGGAAGGGTCTGCCCTGCCCCACAGTCCCCCCAGCTTGTAAGGATGGAGCAGGGAGGCCCCAGGGCTTGGGGCTGGATCGCTATAGCCAGGTTGCAGGGGACAGGAGCCGCAGGGAGGAGACTGGCCTCTGCTGCAGCAGGAGACTCGGCCAGGCTGGCCTGGCCCCAACCCCCACTTACATGGAGCCGATGAAGGCCACATCAAACCAGAAGGCCAAGCCGTGGACTAGCCCTGAATGCAGCATGTGGAACTTGAAGGGAATTTCTATCCTGGAGAGGAGACGAGAGCCATTAGCGATGGGCGTGGGGCCAGCGGGGATCAATCTCCGCCTCTCCCAACCCTGTTACCACCCTACCCCCCCAAGCCCAGCCTGGTCACTGCCCTCCCACCCCCAAGCCCTGGCTGGCTGGCTGGGAGCTGGGTGACACCTGCTGGCCCCTCCCCTGCACATGCATGTGTTCAGGCTGGTGCCCCAGCCCCACCCCCCTCCCCCCCGCCCCCACCTGTGCAAATCGCCTTCTTTGGCTTCTAAGAAGTTCACCGTGTATTTGACCGATTTCGCCATCAGGATCCGGATGTCAAAGGTGTCCTGGGGGAGGGGGACAGGGAAAGGACATACTATCAGTGGTGGGGCAGGGCAGGGGAAGGTGGAACAGCCAGGATGTCCCAGATTCTGACTCTGCAGTATTTCAGGGGCAGGGCAGCTCCAACTCCTAACTTCTGAGGCTTGGCCTAGCTGCCCCAACTCCCCTCAAACCACGCATATATGCCCTTCCCCCAGCCTGGGGGATCAGGGCCCTACATGGACTCACCACAACAGGCTGTCTGAAGTACTCATCCACCGCAGCTCCTCGCAGTGCTGACAGGTCCACTCCATGGAAGGATGGCTGGTACCTACATGGGGGAGGAGCCCAGTCACCTGTCTGCTGCCAGTGACCTGCTGGGGTCCAGACCCCTCTCCCCACCCCCAACCTTTCTCAGTGCCCCCAGCAGGGTCACTGCCTTCCCTCACTGGGGTACAGGATCCAGGAGATCAGGGTTCCCTGCAGGAGAGACACCCCCCCCCACATTTTGCATGCATCCCAAGCTCTTGGATCCCAACTTCTATCCATGCAGCCTGCATGCAGGTCACTGAGTGGGATCTGAGCTGGTGACCCTGGGACAGGAGCCTCCCTTCTCTGCCCCAACAACCCTGGGACTGTGCCACGACTCACCAGAAATTGGCTTTCGTGAACTGCTCCATGTAGAGCTGTTCATCTGTGAATGGGGCCAGGTGGACATCTCCGATCGTGGGGAACATGTTCCCTGCAGTGTGGGGGGATCAAAGCAGGGTCATTGCCTGATGATGGGGAGTGGAGGTAGAGGTCCCATGACCCTTCCCTTTCCCCTCTCCCAAGGGCTGGCAGCATTGCAAAACTTGAGAATGGGCCTGGGCAAAGCCAAATGCTGGACTGCATATCCCACAATGCACCAGGGCTTCAGTATGGGGCAGGGAGAGCTCTGTACCAGCTCCTAGTGCATTGTGGGGGGTGAGGGCTAGGCTGGGATTCCAGATGCTTGGTGGGGGGTTAGAGAATACATTGGTCTGGCCCCACTGTGCTGATACTAGATGGATTTCGGATCATCTGAAGGAAAAGTGACCTGATTCCAACCCCCCAGACAGCAACTGGGGCCTGGACTGGGGCTTTGTTAAGCCCTGACACCCTTCATGAGACCACAGCAGTGGCGGTGGCAGAGGCAGATGCTCAAGAGGGAGAAGAGGGACATGTTTAGGGAAATCCAGTCTGGTTGCAGTCTCCCCAGCACCCACCAACCTTGGTGCTGGGCCGTGAGCAGAACTCCTGACTCATACCTCCAGCCACAACCCCCTCTCAGCTCCGGGGATGCTGCACTCACCGCTGGGTTTCAGGTACTTTTTAGCATGCAGGTAGCTCTCCAGCATGCGCTCATTGAAAAGCATGTAGCCCATGGGCTCCGAGATGATGATGTCCACCTGCTCAGGCAGTGACACCTCCTCCACCTTCCCCGGGATCACCACAATCCGGTCCATCAGGTTGTTGCTTTTCACAAGCATCTGGGGTCAGCAGCAAGGGAAGTAGGGGGTCAGAAGAGGGGAGAATCTTGGTCTTATTCCTCCCCACAAAACTAACTCAGTTCTCAGCACTGGAGACATGGAGTTAGGAGTCTCCCCAGGGTGACAGTTCGGGATACATGAATTGCAGGTGGTGACTATGGCTCACGTCACAGAGCCCTGTCCCCACCTGCTCCTTCTGACCCAGGTGGGCACCATGCTGAGCCCATTTAGCCCCTGGATACCACACACGGAGCTCTGCCAGAAACCAGCAATGAAGGGAGATACATTGGACCCGGGGGGGG